GGAGTTACTTGTAAAAATCGTAGGATTGCATGAGATAGTGCATCTACTGTAGCTGCCGCATCGAATAGTCTCGCATTAGAAGCCTAACAGGAATGTAGCCTGGAATAGATTTGGTTTGCGCTGTGAGTCAGAGATAACGGAATAGTGCTTAATTGCACAGACCTCAGTTAACCAGTAGGGAATTCGACTAAAATACTGGAAGTTGACGAACCAGTTTCATCCAGTAGCATAAGACACTTCGCCAAGCGGGTTTCCTGAAGTTTTTTTGTACTGGGATATATTTACAATCAACAACTCAGTGACATTAGGCTTCTGGATTTTAGTCCTTTAAAACATAACTGGCATCTTGGAAATTATAGTTTCAAAACATCTTTTTTTACAATAGAAGGAACTGTGCGCTATGTTTTCGCTGTCTTTTACGTGGTTCTGTAAAAAATCCACTTAATCGTGAATTCCTCTTTAACCGGATAAGCGATTACAAAAGGCTGCGGTAGTAAGCAGATATAATTTCAAGTAAACTGTTAGCTTTTTTTAAGAACATGTTTATGCTCCTCGGAGTGAGTTGTTGTCTTCGCTGATGTCTCGGAGAGCTGGGCCGACTCTCGTTTTTCAAAGCGTTAACTGCCATTATTTGTGGGCATAAACATGTCCTGAGATTTCTCTCCCGGGAATCTTACTTTTGCAAATTTGAGTTACATGTTTTGACTGAAGGTGACAGTCCATTCCAAAACTGTAAACTCAGATAAACAACTAATATCTTACCAGTTTAAAAATGATGAAAACGTACTCTCCTGTAAACTAAGTCATGCCGTCCGGTAGTTCGTTGCAGACACAATTTCGTGAATGCCCACAGTCGGGAAGTGCGTGAATTTCCATGGTTACATCTACTTGTGTTGGTGTAGTAAACCTGACTTGAAATCCTGGACTTTTCCCATATAATAAGCCTGCTATCATAATAAACGCGCCAGCAGAACGCTTCCACGATTTCAGTTTACTTTAGTTGCAGTTTAAACCTACTGATGAATCAAAAGTTTTGAATCCAAATGATGATTTTTGTATTCAGTTTGGAACAAAAACATGAAACCCCAGTAGCTATAAGTAGGTGAAATTCTCGACTCAAATGTCGCAGAGGTACGACTGTACAGCCAATAGTCGGAAGCTATTAGTTCATTCAAACTTCAACAAATTAACGAAATGCTCTACACTTTAATCTTCCCTAGGTAAACATTACTTGCTCCTGGCAAACAGAACGCTAAAAGGCAAAGTAATGCATAATTTATGATAGCCGCGTCGAAGTCCTAGAGGAGGCCCACGGCCCAAAAAGATGGTGTTAAAAATGCAGTCTTCCTGGCGTGAAAACGAGTCATTAAGTACCCCCCTTTAAAGTGCGCATCGATTACGTGAACGGGACCTATAATGCGAACTGTTTGTTGAACCGAACATCAAGCGTAAATTTCATGATACAGGCAAGAAGATGGGATAGAGATAGTAGGTGAGATGCAGACTTGATTAGTGGGGCAAGAGCTTTGGTCGTTTGACCTTGTACAGGCAGAATTGACCTCATTAACAGAAGGAGAAACGAAGGGATGCGAATGCATGGAATAGCGTTGATTAGTTGTCGCATGCAGCTGTTTATTGATTTCTCTCATTTGAATCTGCATAGACTGCACAACGCTTACGATAAACTAAAACGGCGGCCACTTTGGTTCACGAAATGCGTTAGCCGAACTACACTGAGAATAATGGATCACTTAAAGGTTGGTCCACATGGGTATGGTCCGTGCTAGTCGAAAGTTTGGGCAAAGTCAGACACCGGAACCAACCTCATACCCCTCCCCCTCCCCTCTAGCTCAGTGGCGTGGTAGATAAGAAAGAGGAAATAAGACCGAGCCTTATGCGTCCACACTTATGGCAATTGTGCTACATCTGGAAGATTGGTGGCCCTCGACGCTTGCGACGATCGACCTTTGAAGTGGCTGACTGTCGCGCGTTACCGGCCGACGTTGGCTGATGGTTTACTGTTAGGCATTTTAGCGTCTTACTGCCGTACAGTCAGTGTGATCGAGATCGTGAAATGGTAACCAAAATTCTGAATTCTGGACTATTACTTGAGCATGTAGCATTGGCTATCGATCGAAGTTATTCCATAATATTTAAGACATGCCAACGTGAGTACTTTTGACTCGTTTATTTATGGGTTTGCGGTTTGCAAGAGCTTGCAGTTTACAAGCTACACAATTGGCGTGCAAAAAAGGGCACTTATTCCCTACTGCTATTAAGAAGATACCACACATGACTCCTAGGGCCTTTCAAAAGATGTGGACCATGTAGTGTGGACCATGTAGATGATTCATTTTGAATGGACAAGCAGCGGTTGTAAAACAGCCCAGAATTGAAAGCGTTAAGTATACGATTTGAGGAAAACGTTATCTGCTAATAAATGAGTGCAAGCATGAATATTTCTCCCGGATCTCTGAAAATGGACTCCTATTTGAAGGATCGGGACAATAAACCGATTGATCGGG